AATAATAGTATTTAAGTAAGTATTGGTCATTCACCATTTTTCTATAATATTGGTTAATATCCAATTATGCCAACAATTCTTCATCATCCTATCGACACCAATAACTTGATAATAGAGGAATTTATACAATAGCTTAGAATGGCCTTACAAGAGGCACAAGACCACCTTTTTATCAAACATAATCGACAGAAGTAATATGCACATAACTACTAGCAACCCAAGATCTTTCAAGAGGATAATCAAGTGTTACTTTTCAATGCCAACTTGCCACTTGCTACATCAACTCAAATCCATAAACTAACACCTTGATGGCTTGGATCTTTTTATATTTTTGAAATGATTTTTGATATTGCATATTGCCTTGAGCTTCCACGACATATTTAAATCCATCCAATTTTTTATATTTTGGAATTGAAGGAATTTCATACCAATCCAAAGCACTTTCCGGATCGACACTAACCACCACGACCACCAGTTGTATTTGATGACCAATAAGAATATGCAGTAGACAGTATGAGATTCATTATCTTTGTTGTGGCAATAGTTGTCCACAACTTAAGTACAAATTAATTTGGAAAGATTATCTCATCTATGATGCAACATAGGAACTTATACAAAACCTCACCCATTGCCAAGAAATAATTTGGAGATACCATCAGGAACAAAATAAAAACGTTTTACATTAGTAGAAGGAGATTAATTGTAACAAGGTGTAGATAAGATATTTATATTATTAGTACATAGAGTTAGATAGTTAGAACCATGTTTGAGAAGTTATGGAAGTTTCTAGAATTGAGGTTAGGTTAGTGGATCGGATAGGACCTACCATAGAACATTCTAGAAAGAATTTAGGGCGATTATTTAAGTAGGGCCTACTATAGAACTTTCTTAAAAAGGCTTAAAATAGTTATTTAAGTAGGGCCTATTATAAAATCTTCTAAAAAAGACTTAAGGCCGTTGTCTAAATAAGACCTACTACAAAATTTTCTAAAAAGAGTTTAAGGTAGTTATCTAAGTGGGATCCATCATCTAGGAACATTCTAGAAAGTCCAAGGCTATAGAACAAAGTATAAATAGAACTGGCCAGAGCCTTTTGGGGCATCTGGTCAAGTATGACTTTTGATCTTTTCTCATAATACAATTTGGTTTTATATCCTCCTGTTTTGTTTTATTTTGTTCTAATTCTAGTTACTCAATTTTATCTTTTATGTCCCATTTTATTTAATTCTGTTCAGTTTTGTTCTGATCCAATTTATCTTACTTTGTGATGAAGGTTTATATTATTATGGATTAGAAGGGTCTTAATATATTTGAAATAGATCGGTCATGTTTTAGTTGGCAAGGTTTCTACTCTTATAGATATTGCAAAGAATCCATTCTTTTGTTAGTCCATTGTAAAGAATTACATGTGAAAAGTTGGCATCATTCAAATTTGATGCAATCATACTAAAAGTCTTCTCTTTACAATTTTTTTTTTTTTTTTTTTTTTTTTTTTTTTAATCTTAATATCAACATCATTGCTTGGAGACTCTTCACTTTCATCAACAATGTCCCAATAGTCCAAAGAAGCCAACTAAAGGTCCATTTTCTTCTTTCAATAGTAAAAATTGTCACCTCTAAGCTTTTTAATTATTCTCAAATCTTCATGTTCACTTGAAGCCATGTCTAGTGAAGAAGAGTATCAAAGAAAATCAAAAAAAAAGAAAAAAAAAAAGAAAAAAAGAAGATAAAGCTTACTAAATAAACAAAAAAGTCTTACTCCCTTAAAAATCCAAAATGTCTCCTTCGTGAGTAAACAAGTAATTTTACTCTTTAATCACTTTTAACTCTTACAAGAATACTTTTAATTTCACAAATATCTTTTTATCACTATAAAAAAAAACCTCTTAAGAAATTCAATATACAAAGTATAATATTAATGTATTAATGATGTAACTCAGCAAAGAAACATAACACTAGTATTTTATAATATTATTCTAAGATGATTGATACCTTCTAAGATAATGAATGCACTTAACAATTTGTAAGAACCAAACTACATCAATAATTAGATATAAAAAAAATTTAGAAGATATCAAATCTTAACATCAGCAACAACCATAAGATCTACTCTTCTTAACAAGAAAAACTTCAAAGAACTTCAAAACTCATAACTAAAAGTGAGTGGGCCTATAACCTATTGAAGAAAAAAAAACCTTTAAAGTGACCAACACATAGCATCAGCAAGGTTGTTCACGAAAAAAGTATGGAATAAAATATCTCTTATTTCCAACACCCATTACTTATAGGTAGTTGTTGTTGCCTTAATAAATAACTTTCATCTTTTGATAAACACATCCATTCAATATTTTATTAAGACTATTCATTACTATCTTATTTACTATAAGAATATATCTTTAGCATATTCTTTATATCTTTAAGATCCTTTGTCTATTAATCTACTTTATCTCTTATCTTTTTTTACATATCAAGAGCCAATCTTTTAATCAATAGTAACTTATCCAAAATAATATCTTCTATAATGTTACTTATTCTACTTTCACATTTACTTATTTATTTTAACAACAAAGGCAAATTGATGAGGAATTACAGTATATCAATATAAAAGTAATGTAAGGCTATATAATATTGATGTAGCAATATTATAGTACAATGTTATTTTGGATTTGGATCTGAAAGCGTTTTGATACAATCGTATGCCCTTGAGAACGCATGAGCACCGCCAGTAGAAAAGTCAGAGGGAGCCAAGTATCTCAAGATCAAGATCTACAATGTAGATATTCATAAGCCACATGCATGGTGAGCGTATGATTTCAGTAGTGATGTTCTATCACTACCTTGCTTCTCGATTCTTACCTTCAGCATAATTCATCAACGTGGCAAAATTCTACAATGTAGCCATTCTTAACCTTTAGAATTTTATGGAGTGATGGAGGAATTGACAGCAATCTGAATGCTGATTTTACTGTTGCAAAAAAAGGCATTGATCATGTGACTTAAAGTCCGAAATCTATCACGAACGTCGTCAACCAAGTGGATTCGCTTGTTGCTAATGAGAGTTCCAATTAGTCTGCTATTAAAGAAAGTGCAACTGTTGATGGTGTTTTTAGAAAGCCGTGTTGTGGGGCTTCCACCCAATCAAAACACAAACAATGTGGCCAATCCGGCACCTTCGAGGTCTCGGGCCCATTCTGTATCAACGTGACCGCCGTGGAAGTATTTTGGTCATACTAAATCTTAGAATCAATAGTTCCATTCACATGCCGCAGAAATTCTTGACTGCTCTAAGTTGAGATGTTTGAGGTCTCGCGAGGCAGTGACTTAATTCCAACTGAGTAAGAGATACCAAATCCTGTGTGTATGTGTGTGTGTCGAAGGTTTCAGCCTTTTTACCATAGAGCGGTGTTTACCAGGATTGAATGCTTCAGCTGACATATCAGAGAGTAGCTTCAGTTTTCACATGTTTTTATCACACATCACACTCTCTACTTAAAAATTGGATTTTAATTATAAATACATAATAACAACAACAATAATTCATGCTCGTATGCAACTACTAAAAATACTGTAGGTTCAAGCACTCTCAGAGGTTGGGTTGTAAAGCTAACTTTAATATAATTGGTTGATACAATATATAAATACATATATATATATATATATATATATATATATTCGAAATAAGCCAATCCATTTCTGTACAAGGTGCTGCTCTTTAGGCTTCAATTCCACGATTCTGGCGAGGCTTTCTGTGGCATCTGAAAGGAGCCGGACGATGCGCGCGCTGAATACATGAGCCCAGAGTCATTGCGGTGTCGATGTTTGTCAACTCGAGCGCCACCAAAACCAAGTCGAGCATATCGAGTATCATTTCAACCAACCCCATTCGGACGACGTAAAAAGTCACATTTCCACATGCTGCAACCATAGCGATCCAGGGGCCGCAAGCTGGCTCTCAAAACGAGCTAACACTTTGGTCAGAAACGGAGGTTGTTGGACATCAACGGCGAAAATCACGACACTACGTGTGAGTAGATTAGCGCCTTCTCATGAAAAAGCACATGCCCAATGGGACTCTCCCGTTTCGCTAGCTCTCCGCATCTTGCAATTCGTTGGTTGGTTGGTTGGTTGATCGGAACGCGTGAGATGCGGAGCTGGGGGCTCACGAGGATTACACTGGCTGCATGATCGCTGCGACCCACAATACGAATTCTGCACTTCTGGTTGTCGATGTTTGCGGCTTCGGCGTCGTGCTTTCAACACTTGTGACCAGCCAGAAGCTCCCGGACGTCACCACAGCCGCAGGCAGTCTCAATACGAACCTGGTAGATCATGTGGCCATGGTGTCATTCGGGACGAAAGCCAATGCAATGGTTCCCTTTCCGAGAGGCTATGGCGTAGGCGGAGAAATAATGCAAAATTCTGTCCAGGTGCGGTTTCATACATGGTAGACAGGTATTGTCTGTGAATCAATAGCATTTATACCCCATCCACTATTTACTTGAATGACCATGGCAATGTAAATAAGGAACAGAAGTTATTCACGGATAGCTTTGACCAGTCAGTATCAGACAGTATTGTAGTGGGTAGATTTCTTGACATATGGAACCTTGAGATGCGACGGCAAATCTGGCACACACTATCCACACAACTAGTCAATTAGCATTAGAACTTCCAGCAGAGATAGGGTATCTCTTATACTGGTTCGGCATGCATGTTCACCGCCAAAAGTCCAGCTGTATTCTTTAGCCCGATTCCACAGGCTAACGAATAACCCTGCCGAACAACATTTCATTCACAAGTTTAATGGTTCTTCACATGTTGAAACAAGATAATTGTCCGCACGTTGCCACATGGACAGATCAGGTCCATGCTATTAATTGGCAGCTGTCTTAATGACAAGCAGAGTACATTTGTACAGGTCGGACCCAATCATGAACAGTGTTGGAAAAGGAGAGTTGAGAGAGGAAAACTGCAATTTACAAAAAAAATCTGACGCAGGATTCCAACAACATGTATCATGTTATGATTTCGCAACAGGATACAGATGTAAACCACAAGCTCACTCAGATGAGTAGAGCTGGGTCCTAAGAGCGAGTAGCTATGCAGTTGACAATTGTCACTCTAAGGAGGACGAGAAGCAGCTACTAAAATACGTAGTCTACAATTGAATATTCTAGTCTACAGGCGGCTATTATCGGTGAGAATCTACTGAGAAAGTTTAGGAGTACAAGAATTTTTCGATTGTACAAACCTGTTACTGTACATTCTAGCAATGAGAGACCATAATGTATGATCCCAGTTTAAACGTGTAATACTACAGATTGAAGATCAACTTTGTGAAGTCTCAATAAAAAAATTGCTTCGCCTTCAGGGTGATAGAGGATTAAATGGTCTTGACCAATAATAAACGCATTGGCTGGCCTGGTCGACTAGTCACTGAAACGTCTTCCTTCTCGAAGGTGAAACCGCCTTTGTTGTAAAGCTTGACTGCAGCCTCGTTTGTGGGCACAACATGTACATACAAACTATTTATACCTGAAACATAAATCCAGCAAAACTTGGTTAGTCATGAGGTGGACATGCGAGTGCCCTAAGGCCAGGAAAAAGCAAGACTTACTCAACAATGAGTGAAAGGTTCAGTCGTGCAAACCCCACGAATGAGCAACATTTTGCGCCTGTTGCAGGAGAGCTTTACCGACGCCTCTCTGACGCAGCGAAGGCGCCACACATACATTTGAAATGTAACCTCTACCACGCTCTGGAGCAGGACTCTGCATTTGAAGTGAATCCCCCACACTTAATAAAATCGCTGGAAGCCAAAGACACGCAACGTGAAGTGCACAGAAAACCCAAGCAAGCCGAGTCAGCAGAGCTGTTCCGGAACAATGTAGAAGCTCATTTGCACACTACAAGTGTAACAACCAAAGTGGTAAAACGAAGCTTTACAAGAATAGAAGCCAAGGAGGAGCAGGATATTACCTGTATTTTAATTGGGGGCGCTGGAAAAGTGAGAGGTGACGACCTTTTAGCAAGAAATGAATTAAAACTGACCACCTGAGTTTTTTTCCTTACGGTTTCCCCCGGCAAAACTATGCCTTGATTCAAATCAAGAGACCCAGCAAGTACATACTCCTTTCCATTTGCCAATATAACCTGTTCAGGAAACCAAATGATCTTAGCATCACGATATCAAGCTCTCACTTGTCATCTAGATGGCCAAAAAACTATGACCAAATGCATCAGTCGATGCGGAGAGAAATAAACGTGAGTCCAACCTTCAAGGCAGGGTGGAGTTCGACAACTGAGGAATCAGCCAGGCTTGAGAGCGGATACAGAGCCAAAATACATACAATGCGCTTGTAGCCTTGCTGAAGACCTCCAACTTTTGATTTGAGGTATCTGAACTCATCATCTGTCTTCATCTTGCGATGCAACTGCAAAACCACATTCCAAAGCTTGTAGGTCAGTACAAAATAAGTTAATGTTTCTGTAGCACGAAGTAATCTGGAGCATGAAAAGTTGAAATGACTTTTGTCCACAACCCTACAGAGCAATTTCAGGAACAGCATCAGAATTCTAAGAAATCTGAGAGCATCGTCACAAAAGAGTGACAAACCTTCAAGGATTCTTCGCTGCGTCCTTCCGGATATGTGTGGAAAGAAAGTGCCCGCAAGTAGGCCGCTGCGTGTATGAGTTCTAGAGACCGTGCTTCTTGAAACACCAATCCCTCAAAAGATTGCAGAGCGCTGGGATTAAAATCCAGCCCTGTAAATCTGACTTTCTCTGCAGGTGTTGATGAAACACCTAATCTCTCGCAGGGAGGAGCTGCACACGCAGAAATCCTTAGACATTGCCCTAGTGCTCTCTTACGCTGGGAACATCTCCACGACACTCTGCGAGAAGGAATTCTAACTAAAGGAAGTGACTTCAATCCTCCATCTGGAACACAGACTAAGGCAGAACATGTGCAGTCAACAGTTGCGCGATCTAGTTTACAACTTGGTAACAAATTAGGAAGCGACATTGTGCACACAAACCCCACACCTTAACTGCAAGGAACGAACTGTCAGTTGCACATTTGAGCTGCAGAATGTCAGAGTGCAGTTTCGGAGTCTCCCAAGTGGGAGATCGAAGTCACTTCCTCAGGTCGTCCCACTAAACCCAATCGCAACTAAAAACACATTCAGTCACCCCTCACAACACGACTCCACTCTCCGAAAAACCTCACATCGAAAGGTCGCAGCTCAAATGCAATCAGTCACTCATTCACCCCCACAACAAGATTTAGTTTAGCCCCGCCAGAAGGCTCACCTCCGCAATCCATTCCAACCCACAAAAACTAAAAAGAGCGTCTCAACAAAGCACACAACAAATCAACACTCACCACCTCACCAGCCACCTATAAAAGCAGGCAAAGGAAAAGGTCCGCATCCGGAGATGGATAATGACGACGACGAGGAGAGATAGGAGACAAATATTTGTAAATTGGTAACTCTTTCAAAACGTGTGAAGCACGGAACAACTTATCCACAAGTCATGGCGTCGGGACCACCCCCAGCTTTCAGGTACCAATCGCAGTGCAAGAATTTCCTGAGCTTGGCACGGGAAAAGTGGTGGGGAAAAGCCATTACCCGCTGCACTTTTTCCGCTTTTCCATCGTAGCTTCTCGCCCTACTCCAGCGTCGTCATCCTCAGCGACGCGCCCGTGTCAGAGTTTCTCATCATCCTGGGTCCTCTAGCCAATCCCCAACTTTGCCTGTCTTGGAAAAACGCATGCAATTGCTGCTTTTTCCAACAGCGACACCGCGCAAGTGTCAATCACCGAGGAATTCATCACCCAGCTAGAGCTCCACTGCCTCGTCTCGCTTGTGTTTTTTTCTTTTTTTGCTTCTTCCCGTTCGCTTTCGCAGTCAGTTCCTTCCTCGATTGACGATGAGCAAATCGCGCTTTCTCTTTTGCTTGAATCCGCCATCGCTCGTGAGCTGCGCAGCCTCGCCTCCTCTCGTCGATGCCCTTCACCCTGAAATGGATGAATTAATTCCTTCATCATATGGATGACACTTCATTTTCATCTATGGGTCCCGTTGCAATGTCTTCCGCAAAATAACAACCATCTTAATAAATTGGTCTTTAGATATATTTCGTGAATTTCTATTTTAAACTTATTCCTTTTGCATACAAATGTATATATATATATATATATATATATAAAGACTGTTATTACTAGTATTTGGTCTCTTCCTTGAAGATAACATGGAAGATTCTTGATAGAGAAATTTCGTTTTGGAAAGTTTCCTTTGAGCCTCAGGTAGCTGCAGAGTATCTTCTGTACATGATCTTGATTCTTAAGTTAGTGTGAATGGATATAGAAACCAGCACAAAGTCAAGAATTCTCTTTTTAATCTGCTTTCTTGAATCATGTTACACCCATAACTTTAGATTATTTTGTATTCTAATATACCAATGTTGAATTGTTTTTACATTACTTTAATATTTCTACACCTTATTTACTTTTTATAATTCTCTTTCATGTAAAAAGTTTTTTTTGGAAATAAATTTAAATAAAAAATCTCAACATTAATAATACTTCAAAATTACAATTAAAAGGCAAATCACTTAAATATATTACAACTTTATAACTTTTGTTTCTATTTTCTTTAATAAATAACCATTTAAAACAAATACCGGCTCTTATAAAAAAAAAATTATAATGCCTTAATTAAGCATTTACTTTATTTTTCAAAGATTTTTTGTGAAGAAAATTAAAATTGGTGATGTTTTATCTAACTAATTTGGTTGCTTAAGTTTTATAAATCTACATTTTTAGAAAAAGAGAAAAGAAGGATTTAATTAAAAATTAATTAATATTGTTATAATTTAATTAGAAATTTTAAAAGATTCTATTAAAGTTTTTAAAGTCATCTTGTCGTAAATTCCATTTTTTTTCTTTCATAGCTAGGTGTCTAATGTATTCTCAAGCAGATTTCACGTAATATGACACTGTATATATGAAGCTTCTAAAAAGCTTCTCTATAAGATATTATCAAATTAATCTACTTTTACCTATATTTATCTATTCATATTATTTAAGTAACTATAAAATTAAATATGTATGTCCATGACATATACATGGAGCCAAGAACTAAGCCTTCTTCATTCTTATCAACATCCTTCTTATTTTGAATCTTATTTCAAGAGTCTTTAGTCTTCTTATCTTTAACAATAGTCATTCTAGTTCTAATATATTATTATCTTTGGATAAATATCTACTCTTTTTAAGTATCACAAGATTATATTGATGATTTTATTTGTTAACATTCATCTCCTTGATAGTTTAACAAATGTATTAATTTATTGCTCTTATTTTGTTTTAGCAATGAATGAATTATTTTACTTTTATTGTTGTATTTTAAAGGTTGTAAACTATCAACCTTTAAACTTATTTTTTTAGTTTTCTAATACTGATTTTTTTTTTAAAAGAGAGTAGACTATTCTTTTTCATAGAAATTTCTATTTCTTAGTAGATACTATAGATTTTTCTCTTCTAATATGACTTGTAGATTTTTTGAATTGCTTAAGAAAAAAAATTATATATTCTATTCTTGGAAGTGAGAATAAATTTGCAATTATTAGTAATCTTCACAAACTAGACAATGCTTTTAAAATAGAAATCTCAAGTATTTTTAATACCAACTAATAGAAGTAGTATTTTGACACCTATGGAAGAAATCAACAATAAATTTTAAAGTCTAAGCTAAGAAGTTGTGTGATTAAAAGAAACAAGTAAATCAAGTTTATAACTAAATTCAAGAAGTCTTACTAATACAAATATGAATGATGTAAGATTAAGTATATCAAAAAAAATTGATGGAATAAGATCAAAGTATTGAAGATTTTTACCAAAAGTGAAGCATTATCTATGGTTGCATCTTTTCCAATATTATGATAGATTTACTCAAGTTAGATTCATATGTAAAATTTTATCTATGAGTGTTTTTTCTTGGTTTGCATCTTTGATGGGAAAAAAAGTCACAATTCTTTTATGATCTAAATTCATTCTTTGATTAAGATTTTAATAAAATATACCCAAATTTTATAGAATATATTTAAGAATTACTTTTAATTATTCATGATTATATAAGGTTATAATTAATACCTGATAAAAATCAAAATTGATGAAATTGAGGTTTCTATAATAATTAAAATTTTAAGGACATAAATCATAAACAATTAAAATATCAATATATTTTTATGTCATTCAAAAAGTTTAGATATTTATTCAAAAGTAATATAGTATCATATTAGAATGATTATTGTTAAAGAAAAAAAGATTAGAGACTCTTGAAACAAGACTAAGAATAAGAAAAGTATTGACAAGAGTGAAGAAAGCCTCACTCTTGCTTCTATATATACTATCTAAGTAGGAGTTATGTATCAATCTTTTATAGGGCCTTCAACTTATGTTTAAGTCGAAGAATACATGTCTAATTTATAAGACAAGTTTCTTGTATATATGCCATATGTCCAACTTGTACAATAAATAACCAACATGTACAATACATAGTCAACTTATTAGCTAAGTTTTCAACCTATCAATCACATGTACATATATATAATGGCAAAAATATTATCTATAAGATATTATGAGATTTATTTATTTATATTTATTTCTATTTATTCATATCATTTAGATAATTATTAGAATAAATATATATAATTATGATATTATATCTTCTTTTAGAGACAAGTTCCACAAGAAGTAATAATTATATATTAAAGAAGTCCAAAATACAACAAATTATATTTACCTCATATTTTGATCTTTGTTTTATTTGAAGATAGTTGATAGGTCCTCTCAATCATTGATAGAGTCTTATATCAATGCATGAAGACTATATAGATATTTGATCATTGTTGAGGCCTTCATAAATTTTTTCAAATAAAATATATAAAATATCATTAAAAATGGTTTCTAATTCCAATAATATTACCAAATATTGAGAGTTTCTTCTAAAGTTGCAATATCAAACTTATTTTATGTCACTATTTATTTTTAAAAAAACTTATTATTCTTAAAGGTCTTTATCTCTATTATATAATCTTAAAGGTTGTGACAATTTTAATGCATTGTTTAATAATCCAACAAATGATATATTTTAAGTTAAATTTTTTAATTATTAATTTTTAATTTCTTTAATACCAAAATTATATGGAAACCTCGTATAAATATAAAAATTAAAATTTAATCTTTATTGAACCTTACTTATTTTATAGCAAAGAATTTCTTGATTTTCTATTTTAGTTTTGATGGATGTCATTAATAAAAAACATCAACTTTCTTTGTTGCATTTGAAAGATTCTTGATTGGCTTCCATATGCAGACACTAATATCATATATGTACCAATATACAAGATATTTCAACCTATTTTAGCACCACCTTGAGTCTAAAACTTCTTTAGCCTCAAACTCTTCATTATTGTCCACTTTTATTGAAAGATGTCGAATTTGTCATCTTTTTAATATGTCTATTATCTTGTATTGCTTAAGAAGAGATACATAAAATATAAAATAAATCTTTATAGCTTTTAATATGTACAATTAATAAGCAAATAGATTAATTTGTTCATAAATAAAAAATAATAAAAATCTATACTAATCCAACTTATTAAAAAGGTAATTAATCTTGATATTACAATAAAATAACCATACATTATTGTTAACAAAGAATTGAGGTTGTTCCTTCCAATAGGCATCTATATTGATCTTTTGTCATTCTTAAGCTTTTTCTAATTGTATTTTTAATGTTGCATATAGCTTTAATAAATTATTTGTCAAATCTTTTGTCACATGATTATAAACTTTTGAGAAGTCAAAAATATCAAGTCATAGATGATAACTATAATTAATAAAAAAAAATATGTTTGTTGAATAAAAAAATATATTATATTATTATAGAAAAACTTTGCCAATAACAAAAGAGTTGTTTAATCATCTTAGTAGTATTTGATGATATAATATAAATATTTTTCTAAAACTTAATTCATCTATTTTGTTTCTCTATCAAGTTGACAATGAAATACCAAAGATTTTTTTATATTGATCTTTAATATCTTAAAAAAAAATTAACATTTAGATATAAATTGAGTTTTTTGATCAAATATAAAAATTCTTTATTAATTTTTATTAGCAATAAATATTATCAAAAAAAAATTTAATTATTTTAATATATGTAATAGATATCTTATATGGTATAAAATATACCATATTGGTGAAAAAATCTATAATCACAAATATAATATTATATGAGCTTTAAATTAAAAGATTTGTAATAAAATCTATAGAAACAAAAGACTATAGTTATTTTAATATAAGTAATA